TTTTAAACAAGGATTATGCTTCATGTACATAATTTTTTACCCAAGCTTTTACACCTCACTCACATTAGGAGGTGAGGACCACAAGCTGAAATTTTTAAATACACATGGGCCCTGCGCGCATTGTGAGAGGGAGAACACCATTCGATACCCCCCCATTCGGTCAATTCAGACTAATTCTTATTCTAAACACAGTTTCTATCTAAATACAAAGTAGATCCATGGTGGGAATTGAAAAATAATTTATTTTCCGCTGTGCATGTTAAGTAAATTCCCAACAGTGGTATGAGAGTCTTCTTTGTGTTTGTTAGAAACTATTTAGCATGTTTGAACGGTCAAAAGTTCATTGTTTATTATTTTCTTGTATCTAGCAATTAATAAAAAAAAAGGAAGAATTGGAACAGAGGCAGCGGGCGACAACAATCGTTGTCGCACTGCCACTCACAAGAATGGCCCTCACGCAGGTGGGGCAGCAACGGTCGACGCTGCAGCGACACCCATCGTGGCTGAATAGCTGCACTCTTCGCCGCTGTTCAAAGGGGCGATGAGCGCTGCTTTTTCCAACTGCAGCAACAACGCTGACTACTGTTGCACAGTGTTCGACGTTTCAGCTTGCAACACTATGCTGCCACAGATGAAGACGACATGGGGCCGAACCTGTGGTGGGCCGTGCCGCAGTTACGAGACATGTTGCCGACGTCACTAGATGCAATAGTAAGGGAGAAAGCTTTTAGGATTTTCAATCGGGAATGATTTTGGGGACGGGGACCTATTATGCAATTTTTGAAATTGCAGGCCCTCACCTGCAATTACAGATTAAGGGGTCAATGTACAATTTTTAAAAAAGGGCATTCTTGCAATTTGAGAAATTAAGGGGCTTGTATACAATTTTGAAATAAGGGTCATATTGCAATTTTCAAAAGGAGTTTTGAATTTAAATTTTAAAATGGTTTTAGATTTGATTTTCAAATGGATCTTGATCACAAATTTTTAAGTTTGACTCGTTTAAAATTATATTTAAAATTGATGACTTTTATATGTTCGTTAAAATTGGATTTTAACTTAAATATTAAACTTTGACCCTTAATTGAATTTTATTATATTTAGGAATTTTATCCTAAATTAAAATATTAATTCAATTGAAATCAGAGTTGGACTCTAATTTACTATTTAATTAAAATTTTAAGTCGTATATATATATTCGTATTCGATCATTATTAGGGTTGGGCAAAAAGTTGGAACCGAACCAAGTGGTTCTTATTAAATTAAATACCCGAAAGTGTATCGGAATTGAGAACCGACGTGTTCGATTCGGTTCTCGGTTCTAGATCAAGAATCGAAAAACTGAATAAGAATTAAATCTCTTTAAGTTTTTTAATTCTTTTTATATTGGATACAC